TAGCCCTAGAAGTGCTATTGCTGGGTCAAAGGGTATGCACATTTTTATAGCCATTTGGGCATAGTTCCAAATTGCTCTCTAAAATGGTTGGATCATTTCATAACTCCACCAACAATGCATTAGTGTTCCAATTTTCCCACATCTTCTCCAACATTGATCATTTTCCTGTTTTGTCATGTTGGCCAATCGGATAGGTGTGATGTGGTACCTCAGAGTTGTTTTGATTTGCATTTCTCTAATCAGTACTGATTCAGAGCTTTTTTTCATATGACTATAGATGGCTTTAATTTCTTCATCTAAGAACTGCCTGTTCATATCCTTTGACCATTTATCAATTGGGGAATGGCTTGTATTCTTATAAATTTGTCCTAATTCTCCATATATTTTAGAAATGAGACTCTTATCAGAGAGACTGGTTGTAAAAATTCTTTCCCAATTTTCCACCTTCCTTCTAATCTTAGTTGCATTGGCTTTGTTTGTGCAAAAACTTTTCAATTTAATGTAATCAAAATTATTCATTTTGCTTTTTGTAATGTTCTCTATCTCCTGTTTGGTCATGAATTCTTCTGTTTTCCATAGATCTGATAGGTAAACTATTCCTTGCTCTCCCAGTTTGCTTATAGTATCAGCCTTTATATCTAAATCATGAACCCATTTTGACTTTATTTTGGTATATGGTATGAGATTTGGGTCTATGTCTAGTTTCTGCCATGCTCTTTTCCAGTTTTGCCAGAAGTTTTTTTTTTTCAAAGAGTGGGTTCTTTTCATTAGTTCCTTTGATATTCTGGACCTTTTGTTTTTCCAAATGAATCTTGTTATTATTTTTTCTAACTCCATAAAATAATTTCTTGGTAGTTTGATTGGTATGGCACTGAATAAGTAAATTAGCTTAGGTAGGATTGTCATTTTTATTATATTAGGTCAGCCTACCCATGAGCAACTGATGTTTTTCCAATTATTTAGATCTGATTTTATTTGTGTGAAAAGTGTTTTGTAATTGTGTTCATAGAGCTCCTGGGTTTGTTTCGGGAGGTAGACTTCTAAATATTTTATGATGTCTACATTAAGTTTAAATGGAATTTCTCTTTCTATTTCTTGCTGTTGGGCTTTGTTGGTAATATATAGAAATGCCGATGATTTATGCGGGTTTATTTTATAGCCTGCAAGTTTGCTAAAATTGTTTATTATTTCAAATAGTTTTTTACTTGATTCTCTAGGATTCTCTAAGTACATCATCGTGCCATCTGCAAAGAGTGATAGCTTTCTTTCTTCTTTGCCTATTCTAATACCTTCAATTTCTTTTTCTTCTCTTATTGCTAAAGCTAAGGTTTCTAGTATGATATTGAATAACAGTGGTGATAATGGACATCCTTGTTTCACCCATGCCATTCATCAACAGGAGCCAAGTAGCCTGAGGGTGGTGGAATGCCTCAGCATCTCTTCAATAGATGTCTTGAACATAGTGCACAGCTAATAGATGTTTGCTGAATTCCCTGGCTTCCATCATAAATCACTGCAAAGGTCCTTCCATTTCCATTAGCTCTTAGAACAAGTCAGAATCCTTATATTCCAGCATTAATCTTACTCAAAGCCACTCCATTCATTCCATAAATTAAATCAGTGCAATTAAGAGTCTAATGGAAGGTATCAGTTCTAAGGTGATCTTCCCAATGACCTTGAAGAATTAAAAGAACTCTCCAGTTCCCATAATTTCCTTCTCGTTACTTTCTATACTGAGGTCAAGTTTGGGACTGTGACAAGCACAATGGAAAGAGTTGCCCTGGCCCTTCTATGAAGGGCCTCACTTTCCTCTCTCTCGGCCTCAGTTTCCTCAATTGTAAAAAAAAAAAAAAGAGGCAATCATAGCACTGAGCTCCCAGGGTTCTGGGAAGGGCCAAATGAGATACATACATAAAGCTTTACTGCAAACGTTAAAGCACCTCTGCCTGCAGATATCTGGGGCAATAGTTTAGGAGTCAGAGGATAAAGGGTCTGTTCCCATCTGTACCACACTGTCATCCAAAATTCCGATGAGGAAGGGACACCAGAGCTTTGAAAGATGGTGCTGAGTCCCAAGGAAGAATACCTTAGGAAACTGCCAGATAGTGGTCTGGTATGAGCCCTTGGCCTCTGTCCCTGCTCCCCTCACTCCACCACATGGTGGTCTCCCCACCAGACACCTCCTCCTACCAATGTCTAGGCTTTTTGTCTTCACCCCCACTTCCATAGTGGGGTGACCTGCTCACTCCCCCCACACTCAGCTGGGGACCCTTGTCAAGCCCCTTGTCTGCAGTTTTTGGTTCTTACCTCTGCAAAATTTCCTATTACAATTCTACTATCAACCCCATCTCCTTCCCACATGAACACCATGAATAGCTTTAAATGCTAATGAATATTTATGGAAATACACAGAACAAGATTGATTCTAACAGTGACTCTCCTCTCCCCACTTCTAGGTTCAATAAACTAATTTGGGGTGAGAGGCACAGAGGACACCATTCTTCTCCCACATACACACACACTACAGGGTCCCTCTATATCTTTAGGGAGCTTATTATTTTCCCACCACCTACCTCCTCCTTTCTCTCCTGGTAGCCACTACAGTCTTGTTTTGTTGTGTTTGTTATTTTGTTTTTTGCTAGGCAATAGAGTTAAGTGACTTGCCCAAGGTCACACAGCTAGTAAGTGTCAAGCGTTTGAGGCTGAATTTGAACTCAGGTCCTCCCAACTCCAGGGCCAGTGCTTTATTCACTGCTCTACTTAGCTGCTCCACCACTACAGTCTTGCCCACATTCCCCACTTCATAAGCAGATAGATGCCCAATAGCTCCAGGGGTGCTAGAAGAAGCTTTCAGGACCCATTATGCCCTTTCACTACAGAGCTGAGATATGAAATAGTTTACTAGGCAAGAAAAAGCCATGTCAGAAATCACTCATAGGTCATGAGAAATAAATAAAATAGCAATGAATAAAATTAAAAAGTAATTGGATGATTAGGAAGACCTTTAATTTGGGAGATAGAGGACCCATTTTTTCTCAGATGCATGACCCCAAATCCTAATTCTAACGTGGAATCTGGGTGGTGAAATAGGCAGGAGGAGGAGGAGAGGAAAGCGGTCCTTGACATTTCTGACTTGGAGATACACCAGTTGAGGAAACCAGCTGGTACATCTGACATCTAAGCTGAGGCTTCCAATATGTTCTAGAGTAGGTTTCTCTTAAGCTTAAATCAATTTGCCACAACTGGTGCTTCAAGAATTTGGTGCTGTCACAAGGCCTGAGGGGCTTTCCCACTTTCTGTTATTCTGGGCCCAAACTTACAGGGATTTTTGTAGTGTTTTGGACAGAGGACAGAATAGCACACTGTAATACACTGGAGAGATCAAGAGCTGAATTTGAAGTATAGCTTTGTGCTGACTCATCACCTGAGAGATCTCCCTTAATTCTTCTGGGCTTCTGTTTCCTCACCGCTAATGAGAACTGAATGAATGAAGAAATCCTTCTGATAAGTGAGCAAGAATTCCTTGTGAAGAGTTTTTCAGGCCTCTGAAAAGGGGATTCTACAAATATAACTCTTTGGAGGTACACTTAACCCAGCCTTTCTCTTATACAGGCTCATTTTCTTACTGGGACTATACACGTGAATTGTTGCCTCATCCAAATGCGAGCACATGTGTTTTGTGTAGAACTAAATACACTTGGCTTTACTGTATACTAGGCTTTACATGCCTCAATTCAATGATAAATCTGGGTTCTCTGTAACTATGGAGGTAGGGGTATCTACCCCCCTTCCCTCATTGATACATTCTGGAATTTTTTCCAGGAATCAAAGCCAAGCTCAGCAAATTGGGACATCTGCCCTTTTCCAGATCTATGGTGCCTCTGGTTCTACTCCATCTTGTGGCTTGGCACTTGGGTGTCCAGATTGCCACAGATGTATGCCAGGCTCATTCTAGAGCTCATTGGATCAAAAAGCAAGTAAGAGGAAAGAGGTGAGGGCAAACTGGAGAAAGAAGCTTCATTGTCTCTGATAAAGCTCTACTCATTATGCCCCATTTATACTGGCCAAAAAACATTCATAACAAAACAAAGGTTTGTTTGTCTGTTTGTTTGTTTTTTGTGCACACCTTTGACCCAGTAATGTCACTACTAGATCTATATCCCAAAGAAATAAAAAGGGGGGAAAGAACCCATTTGAACAAAAATATTTATAGCAACTCTTTTGGTGGTGGCTAAGAATTGGAAATCAAGGGGATGCCCATCAATTGGGGAATGGCTGAACAAGTTGTGGCATGTGATTGAAATACAATATTATTATCTATAAGAAAGGACAAGGCTCAGATTCTTATAATCTAGCCAATACTTTACTAATGTTCAGACTCCTTAAGAATCTGCCCAATATGGAGGATGTTCTAATAAACCTTGTCTTTGGCTGGAAAAAAAAAAAAAGAAAAGAAAAGAAAAGAAAAGAAATGACAAGCTGGATGATTTCAGAAAAACCTGGAAAGATTTGCATGAACTGATACAAAGTGAAGTGAACTGAACCAGGAGAACATTGTATGCAATAACAACAATATTGTATGCTGATCAATTGTTAATGACTTAGCTATTGTCAGCAAAACAATGTCCAAGACAAATACCAAAGGATTCATGATAAAAAATGCTATTCACTTCCAGACAAAGAGCTGAAATCATCTGAATACAGACTAACGCATACTATTTTTCACTTCCTTTTTTTTTGGTTTTAAGTTTTCTTCCACAAAATGACTAATATTGAAATGTGTTTTACATAACTGCACGTGTACCTATATCAGACTGTTTACCATCTCAAGGAAGTGTAAGGGGAGGGAGACAGGGGGAGAATTTGGAACTCAAAACTTAAAAAAAAACCAAATATTAAAAATAATTTTAAAATATAAATTGGGTGAAACAAAATATTTTTAAAAACAGATTTTAATTTCGTTTTTAATTTTTCAAATTATGTTAAGACTTACTTTAATTGGTGGCTTGTTTTTAGAACACAGTCATTTGTCCTCTTCCACAGCACTCCCTCTAGCCTTTCCCTGGTGCAAAAAGACAAAACACATTAGCAAAAACAACTGAGCTAGAGACCACATCTGACAGTGGGCAGCATCTGAAACCTGTGGTCCTTCCCCCACCCTAATTGCATTTTCTCCTGGCTCATCATTGCAATTATGTAACCCTCAGTTTCATTGCCTGTTTCTTCTAAATGATGTCACTGTAGCCAATTGTACCTCATCTCCCTGGCTTGGCTTTGTTCACCTTCCAGCAGTTTACTTGTGTCTGGCATGAAAGAAGGGCTGATTTTACTAAGGCCAGCAAGTAAAACCAGTAACCCCTCTTTTATAGACTGTACTCCAACCTGCCCAACATCCCTCCCAAAAAAACCCAACAACCAGAAACAACCATGCAAATCAGCTCTGGAGAAAAGGCAAAAGGAAATATTATTTTTACAGACAAACGAAGCTTTTTATCACCCTCACCTTCTCCCAGGTTCTGCCCGAGGTGGGCAGGGAGTGTCTCCATTCAAGGATGCAGGACAGCCGTGTCAGAGACAATCAACGCTTCCCTCTCTAGGTCATGCTCATTGTTCTCTTGTTAGTTGTTGTTGTTGAATTGTATCCAACTCTCCAGGACCCCATTTAGGGTTTTCTCAGCAAAGGGAGACTCTCCTCCAGCTCATTTTACAGTTGAGGACCCTGAGGCAGACAGGGTGAAGTGAGTGGCCCAGGGTCACACAGCTAGAACAAGCCTAAAGCCAAACTCTAGGCCTGACCCTCTATCCACTGTACCACTTCACTACCCTTGTTCTAGGATAGCTGTACTTAATTTGCCAAAACTCCATACACAACCTTGAGACGCAACCCTGATATACCTAGAAGCTCATACAAAGAAGTTTTTGTATTTTAGGGTAGGTAACAAAAAATAATGAAAAAAATGGTTTTAATCAAATGAAATTCTGATCCTGCTATGACAGGAGGAATGAAAAGAGATAAATGGAAGCCATTTCAACAAGCCTTTTTCATCAGAGTCTTATTCATGGAGTTTCAGATCCAAGGACTTAGATCCAAGATTCCAAATGCAATTTAGTGGGAGCCAAACCACACATTCAAAACAGACTGAAATATTCATTGGAATCCATGTAAAGTGAAACCCAAGGAAGTTCTGCCAGCTCCAAGCAGAGCTCCCCTTGCAAAGAAGACGAGAAGGGGCAGGGAGCTGGGGTGGAGAAGAGCTCTGAATTACTGTTTGTATCTTCTGGTGACCAATCTTTCTCAAAGCTTTGACAAAGGGTTTTGATAGTTTTGTCCTTTCAGATGCTGGGACCATACTCCAGCTTTGGTTTTGTTTGAGAGGACAGAGTGTACTTCAAAGAGGACTCTTCATACCCCAGAGGGAATCTTTGGGGAAGATCTTCATGGCAGTGGAGCTCTGTTAGAATGTGGGAGGAACAGTTGGTTTCTGCCACATGGATTCTCCACTGTCTCCAACTATGCTGGTAAGAGCTATTTTTCACTCTATGTGTACATGCAAAATCATGCATAGCTTCACAGCATCTCAGGCAACAATACAAACCACATTCATCTGGATGTAAGGAAGGTGCCCATATAGGTCATATATCTGTCCACAAGCTCTCTCCAGCTCCACCCCTCACACCATCACAGAGCCTGGAGAATTCATTCTCTCCACCAGTGAAGTAAGTCTTCTATAAACAGTGAGGTTTGAACCCCAGGTTACAAATGAATACATTGAATCACAGAAAGGTTGAAAGGGGCCACTGCAGCCATCAAGTGTAAAGCAGACCTGAAAGGCATCCCCAGTCTAACATGCTTGACAAGTGTCATCCATCCCCTGTTGAAAGACCTCCAAGGACACTTGTATAAATCAGAAGTCAATCAGCAAGCATGTATTAGCTGCCTCCTATGTGTCAGGCACTGTCTAGGTGTGTGGACTACAAAGATTAAAAGGATACTAGGGCAACATGTACATATGTAAGTATGTGGCTACTTTCCACTTATACTGCATATGTCCTGTATATACATAGAAGCTTGCATGCTTTCTCCCCAACTAGAGCAACAGCCTCTTGACCATATTTTTTGCCTTTCTGAGTATCCCCAGCACTTAGCCCAGTGTCTGGCATGTGGTAACCACTTAATAAGTGATTGATATAAAAAAATAAGTCCCAAGTAATTTGAGAAGGCAAGGCACCAACAGCTAGGAGGATCAAGAAAGGCGTCATGTGGGAGCTCAGTTTGAGCTGATCTTTGAAGGAAACTAGGCATCCTAACAGACAGAGGCAGGCAGGGAGGGAAGGCATTTCAGGGGAGGGTGTAGCTAGTCAAAAGTATGGGAGTGGGAGAGGAAATGTTCATCAAGCATGGAGAACGGCAGGGAGGAAAGTTTGGCCAGAGTGTGTCATGTATGAAGGAGTGGAACAGATGACTAGGTGGGAGAGGAAGGACTCTAAATCTCAAACAAAGGAGTGTGAGAGGTAACCACTGGAGGTTACTGTGAAAGAGAGGAAGGTGACGTGGGAAAAACAATTCTCCTTTTCCTCAGGCACTCATGGATGGTTACACCTTTGATCTTGCCATGACCACAACTCTTCCATTTCCCTTTATCTGGTCATAGCCTCATCATTCTACCTTTTTCCTCATCAACTGTTGTCTTCTCCCATTAGAATAGAAACTCCTTGAAGGCTCAGACTCTCCTGTAAACTTGCATTTGCATCCTTGGCTCTTAGTATAGTGGCTAGCACATGGCAGATGCTTAATAAATTTGCCATTTATCCCTGTGTCTTCTTTACCATGACCTCCAACTGTCTCATCCATCAGTACTTTCCCAGGCCATCACCCTGGAGCCTCTTTGCCCCTTTCCCCAACTCTAGCCTGAAGGTAACCAATTCAACTCTGTATTCTCCTCCACTCACAAATCCCTTTTTTATTCACCAACTTCCAGCCCTGGATTATTCTCATCATGTGCCTCTTCTACTCCTATCACATGCTACTTAACAGAGCTAAATAAAGTCAAATGTTCATGTCTACTAAATCTACTATAAATGTGTTATTTAATCTCAGTTAGACCCTTACTGGAACAAAGGAGCCAGACAGTCCTTTTACTCCTCCCTAATTTATTCTCTATCCTACAAACCTTTTCTTCTTTCCTCAAGCTTTCTATACCACCTCTCTCACCCATCCTCTTAGCTGAGCTCTTCATCTCATACTTTACTGAGATAAAGTCATCCATCATGAATGCTGTTTTTTTCCCTTATCTATGTTTCAAAACTCTTTGACATTACCCTTTCCTCCTGTACTCCAGTCTCTGACAGAGAGGTGACCCTTAGCCTCACCAAGACCAATACCTTATATTTACCTTTGATCCCATCCCTTACTGTCTTCTCCAACAAAATTCACCCACAGTTATCCCCTATCCCCAAAATATTTAATCTCTCCATACATGATGGTTTTATCCCTATTGCCTATAAGCAACCTCAAGTCTTTCTCCTTCATCCATATGACATTTACCAAGCCCTCAAGTTATTGTCCTAAATCTTTCTTACTATTTTCAGCCAAAATCCTAGGAAAAGCTTTCTATACTTAACTGCCTCAACTTTCTCTCTTCTCAAATCTCAGCTCTTTGCAATCTGACTTATGAGTACTTCGTTCAACTGGAGCTACTGTCTCCAAGGTTGCCAACATCCTCCTTATTGTCAGACTTGACAGCCTTTCTCAATACTCATCCCTTGACTAGTGTCACTAGATGCTAGGGACCCCCTGGATTTTGGTGACACCATTCTCTCTTCTCCTACTTGTCTGAACAGTCCTCAGTGGTCTCCTTTGATTAGCATCAAAGCCACTAACTGTGGATGCACCAAAAACCGTTCTGGGGCCTTTTCTGTGCCCTCTTGGTGGCCTCATCATTTCTCAGAGTTTAATAATGACCTCTATGATGCTGACTCCCAAACATATATATCTAGCTCTCATCTCCTTCCCCAACTCACATGTTGCAACACCCACAGCTTCCTGAACTTTGGGAGCTGGGTGTCCTGCTGGCACATCAGCCTCAACACATCTAAACCAGAGCCCATCAACTTACCCTCCAAACTCTCTCCTCTTCTCAACTTCCCTGATCTTTGTTGAGGCCATCAATGTGCTTTCAGGACCCAGTGCAAAACCTCAGTGTCAACTCTAACTCCTTATCCTGTCATGTCTAACTCCATATCTCTCTCCACTTCCCTGGCCACCACCCTAATTCAGACCCTCATCAGCTTAATGGCATCTGAGTCCAGGCCTGCCTCAGGTCCTCACTAGTTACATGACACTAACCCTCAGTAAGTAACTTTTTCTCCGTCAACCTCTATTTCCTCAATTGCAAAAATGGGGATAATCATAGCATGTACCTCACAGGAACTGGGAGGATAAAGTGAGATCACATATGGAAAGTGCCTTTGCAAACCTTACCGCACTAAATAAATTCCACATATTTCTATCCCCTTCTTCATCCTCCTCCCTTCTTCATCCTCATCATCATCTCTTGCCTAGACTAACCAATCACCCTGGCACAAGATCTTCCCCCACTCTAACTCATTTAGCTGCTAAAGTATGTTTCCTAAAGCACAGGTTTGGTTACTTAGGACACTCCTGTTGTATCTTATTTCCTCAGCATCCATCTGGAAATGGTTATTTCCACCTTCCCACCAGTCCCCAAGCAGCTACGCCATCATTTCCTGGAGAAAATGACACTATCAGGAGGCTGAGACAAACCCCTGGCCTGACTTGACAAATGACAAGGACCTAGAGGGTCTTGTTTGGATGGTGTAGAGTCAGATGAAGGAGAAATGCTTATTCAAGAAGTCCACAAACTGCTTCATGTTTCAATGTTTTAAGTCTCAATCTTGCAGGAGAATAGAACAATAGTTTTAAGTTATTACTGCCACCTAAGTCTTTGTTAATGAATGTTCATAAGTGCTTTCAATTGGGCAAGTATGTGTGTGTGTGTGTGTGTGTCTGTGTCTGTGGGTGTGGGTGTGTGTGTCTGTGTG